ATATGCAGGGGGGTGGCCAGATGCCGCTCTGTTTTCCCCGTTTTACACCTGCTGTCGCGCTGTTGACTTCAGTGGCATTACTCTGGGTTCCTACCAATGCGAGGGGCAGGGAGATCAGGCCTCGGCGCTTCTCAGCCCTTCTCATCGCCGCCTCCATCCCAGAAACAGCCCGAGGGAAGTGAAAAGGGAACTCAGGCTGCCTGGTAAAAGATGAGCCATGTTCTCTGCCCCCACAGTCCCTTCCCTGTGTGTTTGCACTCAGGCGGTGCACAGCAGGGAGGCTGAAGGGGTGAGAAGGAAATCAGGTGGGAGAGAAGCCGAGTGCAAGACCCAGGCCTTTCACTGAGCAGGAGTCCCAGGACATGGAGCCTGGGGGCAAGATTCCCATTGACTTTAATGGGATCAGGCCCCCTGCGAAGGAACACATCAGCCAAAAAACCAGAAGTACAAAGAGGAGAGGCCAGTGTGAGCTGCACTTACACTTACAGTGAGGGCAGAGCCCGGCCCATCCGCCTTTAGGGACTATAATTGACACTGAACTCCAGGACTAGAGAAGAGGTGCCCAGAGCGGCATGGACAGGAGCAGTGCTGGGAGGCAGAGGGGAGACGTGGCAGCGATAGTGCCAGCAGGGCAAACACTGGGAAGATCTAACATCCTCATCAGACATACCTGTGCCCTGGGGGCTGGTGCTGGCTGCAGTGGTCCATACACCAGCGACCGTGCCCTCTCCCCAAAGCAGTAAGGCACCACGAATAAACCACGGCACAGAAGGTAGCACATTCTTGCCACTTGTGCATGCGACGAATGGTCAGGTCTTTGTGCCTAGTCCTTCTATCCCATTTAATCTGGAACCTGTTGGATATGTCCGAGTTAGGAGGAAAGCCTAGAGGAAGAGGAGAATGATTTGGGGGGAGGGAACCAGACTGGCTGAGGACATGCGGTGTTAAACAAATGCCTCAGAAGCTCCATGGGAGTGATTCGCCCCGAAACATGTGCACACTTGATTGTGAACTGAACTGTATGAAGCACCTCCTTGGTACTCCAGCTGCAGGAGAGAGCAAACGAACTTCCAGAGAGTTGCAAGGGGAAAGGGCTATGAAGGGTCAGACTCCTTCTCTGCAGACACCGTCCTAGTGAAAAAGTTTTTCCTAATATCCAACCTAAATCTCCCTTGCTGCAACTTGAGCTCATTGCTCCTTGTATTGTCTGCCCAGCTCCACAGAAACTTGTGACGAGCTTCATTTCCCCTGTGCAACCAAGTGCCCACTGGCTACTCCAGGATCTGGTGTCTTGTAGGCCCCCAGTACAACACGCTCATGTGTGCTGTATGCCTGACCAACCCAGGTGCCCAGAGCTGTACAGCAGCTTTATTACAGCTTTGGGGTACACGAGAGACTGAATCTTAGGGTCACATCAATCACACCAGGCCCTTGTGTTCTTTGCTAATGCAGCCCTTGGTCCCTTCCCAGGCATCACTCCATGGAAGTCAACCTCTCACCAGGCCAGACTGTGGTCCCAAGTGCCTGAAGATCTAATGTGTGACTTGGCTTCATGCACATCAGGTGGGGCTCTGGGAAAAAGGCAAGTCCCAGGTCATCAGCGGTAAGTCCTGCCAAGCTTTCCCTTCCCAAGGCTGGATTTGTAGGGAGATGCAGCCTGTGCGAGTTGGCCCAAAGGGCATCGGAGCCAGATAGAAAAAACATCAATACTGCAGTTTCCCCACAATAATGACCGAGTCATTAAAAGAATCACCTTCTGGGTGGGCACAAGGAAGAGGCAGGCACCCAAGCCTTTATCTGGATACTTCCATAAGCACCTGAAACCACCATGGTGGATGCAACAACTCTTGTTGTCCTGCCTAATCTTCTACGCTCACCAGCTGGCACAGCTCTTGGTGGCTGACAGAGTTACTTCGGAGACAGGAAACAAATTCATAGCACTTCCTTCCCAGAACAGAGCGAGCGCACACACAAGACAAGGAAGCACAGGGCACCTTGCCAAGCCGCCTTCCCTGCACTCAGAGCCTCCTGATGTGCTCCCAGGCTGCTCGCTCACTGCATGAGACACCTCTGGAAGGCAGCGGATACAGGACGGCAGCCCACGGACTGATGGTGGGGATGATGCTAGCACAAAGTTTTGTCTCAGGTGCAGCCTGTAGAGCTGGAGTTACAGGAATCCCAAGCCACTGCCAGGAGGCATTTGTGCAAAGGGTTTCCATTAGAGGGGAAACACAGCGGGGAGGGAGAGAAAAGGTGCATCCTTGGCTGGCAGGGCTTGAATAGCAGCCAGCCTTGGCTCAAGTGCTGAAAATAAAAGGCAGCAATTTCCATGGCCACCAAATCTTCCCACCAAGGACTTTAAGTTTCCTCTGCTCATTTGCTTCTCTATTCCAGTAACAGGGCTCTCTCCTCTGCACCGCCAAGGTGCATGATGTCAGCACCGGGGGGCTGGACACACGGGTGCTTTATTCAGGGGTGAATCCAGGTCGGGGGGCACTGGTGCAATCAAACCCCGCTGCCCTTTGATTCCTGCTCCACCTAAAGTTTAAAACCAACTGCCCGGCAAAGGCAGCAGCATTTCTAGCCAGGCAGCGCTGAGGGAGTCCATTGACTTCCTGGCTCATTGTCATCTACCTGGTCCCTTCAAAATGCCTCATTCCACAGGTGTTGCAGACCCTCTCCTCTTTTTAAAGCCCTTGATGTTCGTTCCACCATCCAGGCAGCCTTTGCTCTGCCCTTCTGCTGCCTCTTCGCTGCTCATGGTGAAGAAGCTCCTATTCCACAGCCCTGCAGATGGGTTTTCACTCATTCCCATGAAGCGCTGTCTGTTTTCACTTCCATCTTAAACCGAATGATCCAGGCCTAGACCCCTAGCCTATTAGTCAAGCTTCTGGTTTATTTTTAATTGGAGAGAAAAAAAGGTGCTGTTTTATATATGATGATGCAGCGGTTAGCTGCACTCCCCTTTGCAAAATCCTAGATCTGTGCGTGGCTTTATTGTGAAAAACACAAGGCCGGATGGTTGGGCCTAGAGCAACTGGTGTGGGGAGAGGGGACACGTTGACTTCAGCAGG